ATTACAGTAGAACCCCTCTAATCCGTCACCTTTGGGACTGGGGGTATGGTCGGAACGCAAAAAAGGTCGGATTATCAGAAAAAAGTAAAATAAACAATCTTCCCCTTTGTCCAGTCTTTGTAGCACTGCTAATTTTTCATTTATGAAAGAGTAACGTGTTTACGTTTCACTCCTGACATGTTAAAAACACACACAAAACTGTACATGTACACACAATGTAAAACATATACTGTAACGAACATAGAAAAACTCCACGGACGGTGAGTCACCAACGAGTCGGGACAAGTTTCTCGACTCCGACCACGGTCGGATTAACCGGAGTGACGGACTAGCCGAGGGCGGACTAGAGGGGTTCTACTGTATTGATAAAAGTGCAAAACTACAACTTGGTTTGCTCACCTCATTTGCTCTGTTCTCTCTCTTTACTTTTGCATCCAGTGTAAATCATACTTAATTCTTTTATAAAGCTGATGTCTTGCAATCAGAGGCAAAAGAATCTGTGAACAGAATCAACGAACCATTTTTCATGTAATACAGTCAAACCTCTGTTTTCAAACATAATTCATTCCTGAAAGTTGTTCTAAAACAGATCTGTCACAAAAAAATCAAATTTTCCCATAAGAGACAATATATAATGGATTAATCTGTTTATGACCCCTAAAATAAAGCATTTTTTTTTATCTTTTTAGCTGTATTTCATAGGTAAAAATGCCTACAAATGCAATGTATTATTATGTTATAACATACCAATTGAATAAGGAATAAAGTTATAAGAAAGACAATTTCATTCATCTTAACCTTTAAACACAAATTCTTGAATATCATTTATATTACATAAATGTCAATTAACAGATTGTATTAATTAATTTGATATAGATTCAATTGCAGTATGTAATGAAAAATGGAAATAGTGTCTTTCCTGCATGCATATTGAAATCTAATTTAAATAGCAACATCATCAATGATTCATGTCATGATGTCTAATGACCCAAGGTGATCCTGTGCCTAACATTTGAATCAGTAGTCCTGTCATTCATTGGTCAGGCCATCAACTTTCTTTAATTAATTAATAGGAAGTATAGAAAGTTGACCATCTGTGGCTGGCTCTGCCAATAGCTTGTTTGGCAACCAAATTGTCATATGGCAATTGGGGCAAAAATGAGTTTAGAATTTTGTTCCTTAACTGAATTGTTTGAAAAGTGAGGCATTCAAAACCTGAGGTTTGACTGTATTTATGTACAGGCCAATACATGGCATGCAACTATTACAATAATAATTTTTTATTTTAACAAAAATTTTTTAAATGTTAATCTTTTTGAAAATTAATTAGGAATGTTTTTATACAACAAAGAAATATATTATAAATTGTTTTTTGTTTCTATTCAATAATACGAGAGATAAATATATAATTTTAAATTTTTAAAATTGTAATTATTTTACTGTTTTAATTGTGTAATAGTTAAGAATGGTATTTACTATGTTAATGTTATAAAATATTATTTATATTTAGTATTATTAACAACATCGTTTTTAATAAGCATAAAGCACTTTTTAATAAGCATATTATAAAATATTAACATTATTATTATTTTTCATTAATTTTGCAAATCTTACTTATTTGATTTGGTTTTACAGTTGATTAATTGATTAAATAATTTTTAGGTGAGAGAGTTGGAAACTGAACGACTGAACAAATGGCTGAAAATGTTAAAAAATTGGGAAAAATATCGACCTGGAGAAAAGGTATACACATATATAATACAGTTTAGTGTTTTTTTTTTTAAGCTATTTGAAAATAGTTATTATTATTATTGTTATTGTTATTGTTAAATTTCTATATACAATGGTACCTCGGTATACGTCTGCTTTAGAATACGTCCAATTCGGAATACATCCTGTTTGGATGAAACAAATTTTGCTTGGTATACAACTTTTGTTCAGTATACGACTTAATTCAATTATATGCGCCATCTATGAACAAGTAGCACTATCGGTGTACTATACCAGACTAGATGTTTGCAGTGCCACAATTTATAACTTTGTTAAATTTCTTCTTATTTTAATTTGTAAGTAAAATGTTATTATTTTTATTAATCATGAATTGCAAAAAGGCAACAGAAAAACAAAAAAATGACTAGAATCGCAATGGAACTGAAAAAAGAGATTGTTGAGAAATATGAAGGTGGCATGCGTGTTTGATCAATATCGGCAATTGTGAAAAATAAAGACATTATGAAATCTGCTAGCATTTCAAAAGGAGTTAAATCAATTTCTAAACAATAGATCATGTGGAGAAATTGCTTTTGCTTTGGATAACTGAAAAACAGTGTGCTGGAAACAGCGCATCAGAAGCAATTATTTCTGAGAAAGCTAAAAAGATACATGCTGATCTCATGAAAAAACAAGCAGGAACTAGCCAGGAAAGCAAGGTGTTTAAAGCCAGCTGTTTTTTTTACATGAGAATAGATTAATCATTTTTACATTACTTCTTATGGGAAAGGTTGGTTTGGTATACGTCCTATTCGGTATAAGTCCAAACATTAGGAACGGATTAAGGTCGTGTACCGAGGTTTCACTGTACATTTCATGAAACTGTATAACTTGTGTAAAAAAAATCAAACATATATTTATTTAAAATTATAGTAAACCTAGGCTATGTCAATTTTTTTAAAATTTTTTCTCATATCTGTTTTTGTTATTTTACAAAATGATGGTTAATCTCTTATAGGTTTAAAGACTTATTGATTATATTTTTATAATATACTGTAGCTTAATAATATATTTTGTTTATGTAAATTGCATATAATGGATAAAAGAAACAGCATTAATTTTTTATAAAATAGTAAAGTTGGATCTAAGCAGATGCATGCTTTAAAAGTGATCTAGATCTTACTATCCAATAAAGTATCTTTAAGTAAATAAAAAGAAAAATGCACTGAAATTTCTCAAATAATGTAATAACTTAATTGTAGAGATTGTGTTTGGTGAACCTATTGTATGCTGCATAAATTTACTTCTACAGAATTTAAATGCCAAATCTCTGAAGATTAATTTTAAACATTAGGAATAGACACTAATTTTTTTACTACTAACAATTATTCTATTTGAAATCATTATATTTATTTTTTTTAAATGAAATCGAGATAATTAATACTTTTGAGATTTTGGACTACTGTCTATAAGAGATTTAAATTATGTAATTTATTATGCTTTCTAATGGCTTTGATATTGATTTAATGTAATTTTCTTCACAAAACTTAATACTAATTTTATTTTTTAAATAAAGAGTAAAATAATGATTATTTCATTCTTTAATGAAGTAAAAGATAGTTATTGTAATATCAACCAAAAAAAAAAAAAACAGTTGGGAAAGTTTAAGATCTATAATTGGTTTAAATTTATTCTGATTATGACATTAACATAAATTAACATAACTATATTTTTACAAACATAATATCAATTTCATTTACAAGAGAAATGCAAAAATCATTTAAACCAACAGATATATTAAATTCATGGTAATGCAGTATAACAAAAAATTGATAACATTCTATTTTTTATGTTTAATATGTAATTTGTTTTGTATGTTTTGTATTGTAATATCCCTAAAGAGCTTTAATAATGGTTCATTTTTTAATAAGCATAAAGTTAACAATCAATGCAGCATACAATATTTAGTCAAAATGAATAGTTGTGTTATTATAATATACGAAACTAGCTGTTGCCCGCAACTTTGCCTGGGTGGATTTTGCAAGCAAATCCCGTTTTATATTCAGTATTTCAACAACCATAGTAATTGTTATATAACACCTATCACTGAGAATGATGAGAATTGCTGAGAATCAAACAAACTATTTGATCAATTTTCTGAAACGTTTACAATCATTCTATAATCGAATACAATATGCAATAACAAATTCGAATTTAAAACAGTTTGAACATTTGGTTAAAAAATCAAAATATATAAAAATATTTATAACAATGTCTGAAATGTTATCAATTTAATACATCTACGTACTCAATGAAAACTAAACATAGTTGAAAACAAAAAAGCGCATCTAAAATATTAGAGTAGAAGCCGTTCTTCAGGTTAAGCCTTAATCCTCTCCCTCTCCCCCTTGCAGGGAAATTTTGAAAAATTTTTTCTTAGTGTGTGTTTTCATGACATACCCTAACTGTGTACAAAATTTCACTTCTTTAGGTTCAGTGGTTTGCTCTGGGCAATGATGAATCAATCAGTCAATCACTCAGTCAGGCAGGACAAGTAATTTGATATATATGAAATAGTCAAAATATTAAACATCAATTGATTTTTGAATTATTCATTATTAATTGTAATATAATGTAAATTTGATAGTCATGCTATTTATTGATGTTGATTAAATTTTTTAGTTAAAAAGAAGAATATATAAGGGAATACCAAATGCAGTTAGAGGTGAAGTTTGGTCAAGATTATTGGAAGTTACTGAAATTAGAGATAAACATAAAGATAAATATCAAGTGAATAGCTTATAATAATAACTTAAATAGTTTATAAACTATTAAATAAATATTGCATATTACTTTTTTAAATTAATTAGAATATGCGTGAGCATGCTCGAAAATGGTCTCCAGACGTCAGACANGTATTATATTTTATTTTTTCTATATAATGCAATAAATTGTTAAATCTATAGAAAAACTATAATAATTTCACAAAAGTCACTTTCTTAGGTCAATCAGCTTATGCGGCCTCTCTTATTGCTGCCTAATTTAAATGTGGCCTCTAATGGTAAAAAGGTTCCCCACCTCTGGTATATACATAAGAGACAAATTTATTCTATTAGCATGGTTAGAGAAAAATATGAAATTATGAAAAATTAATCTAAAAGTAGTAAAATTTTTTGCAATAATTGACTAGTATTATTATATTGTATGATATTTATTTTTCTTTTGTGATTAGGCAATGGTAAGAAAAAAGAAGGAAATCTGGAACGAGCAGCAGCTGAACGTGTAGCTATTGTTGCCAGATATGATACTGGTTCAGATGCTAAATTTGTTGATCCTTGGGAAGATCCTGCTTTTGAAGTATATCATGTGACTGATCGTTACGGGTTTATTCAGTAGGTTCATATATATAATATCTGGTAATATTATTTATAATGGCTTATGATGATCTATTAAATATTAAACTTTGGGCTCAAGTCTCAAAATTTGCTTAATCTCATCATTTAAGAGTTGTTTTTACATTCATTGGATTAAAATGAATGTAAACCATTATATTGAATTTACTAAAAAGTCTTATTTTAAAAACAAGATAAAAATTTTTTTGTTTTAATGATTCATTTTCACTTATAAACTAAAATTTTAAATTCTGGATTATTTATTAATTTTAATAATTCTAGTGATTCACGGCTGCCCGATAAACTTACTGCTCATGAAACTAAGGTAACTATGTTTGTTTATTTTTTATAAAATAATGTGAGGTGATTTTTATGTTCAGATTGGCAAAGAAACCCAATGAGGTTGCTGTGTAAAAACAAAAGTTGATTTTTCAATTTCTGTTACACAATTGTAATAACCACAGTAAACATTTAATGCTTAAACCTGCAATCCTTAAATCTATCTTAAAACTAAAGGAGATGGAAATAAGGTAGAAGGAAGAGAAATTATTGATAGAAGGGTCAATATCAGACAGACAAGACAAAAGAGAAGGACATGGAAAGTAAAAAGACAAAAGAGAATGATGCAGAAATATCTACAAATAATAACTGTAACTAAAATATACAGTTAAATTTGATTTTGAACTTAATTCTTTCCTAAAAGTTGCCATAAGAAACAAATTTTCCCATAAGAAACTATAAAATGGATTAATCTAGTCCTGACCACCAAAACAAAAAAATTTTTTTTATCTTTTTAGCTGTATTTCATGTATAAAAAAGCCTATAAAGAGAATGTATTATTATGTTATAACATACCAATTGAATAAGGAATAAAGTTATAAGAAAGACAATTTCATTAATCCTTACCTGTGCTGAGAAGTCTTGATTGTGCAAATGGAGGTTGGAGAAGAGATGGAAGGGTAGGAATGTTATTTCTTGGAAGGTGAGTCACCCTCCAGAACAGCATCAAGTAACTGTACTTCAGGAGTTTTTTCTCTTACCTCCTGGATTTCCTGCTTCTTCATAGCAGATTTTGCCTGAGACTCACTAGGCTTCTTTTTCACTAAAACCCTATCTAATGAAATTTGATTTTGTCTACGTTTCACAATGTTATGGAAGTGAGACATAGCATTGTCATTGAAAAGATTAATGACACGACTTGCTACTGCATTATCAGGATGATACCTTTCAACAAAACTTTGCACTTCACTCCATTTTGCACACATTTTGTTAATAAGAGCAATAGGAACATCCTCCCTTCCCTCTTCTTCCTCCGAAGGTATCTCCTTGAGCACTTCCTTCTGCTGCTCCTTCTGAAGGAGTTCGAGTTCATCGGTAGATAACTCAGGACTGTGTTCCTTCACCAGCTCTTCGATGTCGGCATTGTTCACTTCCAGACCCATGCTTTTACCTAGATACACTATGTCATCAACAACTCCATCAGTATCTGTCTCAAATCCCTCAAAGTCACTCACTGCAACACAATCAGGCCAGAGATTCCTCCAGGCCAAGTTCAAGGTCCTGCAAGTAACTTGCTGCCAGGCCTTGTCAATAAGACCTAAGCAGAGCAAAATATTGAAATGGTTCTTCCAAAAGTCACAGAGAGTTAACTCTGTGTCAGAGGTAACCTCAAAGCATCTTTGAAAAAGTGCTTTAGTGTAATACTTTTTAAAGTTAGAAATGATCTGTTGGTCCATCGGCTGAATAATTGAAGTAATATTAGGAGGCAAAAACTTCATGACGATGAAGTCACACTCTCCAAGTAATTCAGCCTCCATGCCTGGGGGGTGAGCAGGAGCATTGTCCAACAAAAGCAGGCACTTCAGTGGCAAATTATTTTCATTAAGGTATTTTCTCACACTAGGAGCAAAAACTTCATGGACCCATTCCAGGAAAAACTGTCTGGTCACCCAGGCCTTACTGTTAGCCCTCCACATGACAGACAACTTGTTTTTCACAACATTGTTTCTCTTAAACACATCAGGGTTCTCCAAATGATAAACGAGCAATGGTTTCACTTTAAAATCACCACTAGCATTTCCACAAAGCAAAAGAGTTAACCTGTCCTTCACTTCCTGCATTAAGTATGTACTGTTTGGCATTTTCTTCCAAAACAGTCCAGTTTCACCACAATTAAACACTTGCTGGGGGATAAAACCCTCTGCAGCCACATAAGCACAGAATTCTTTCACAAAGTCTTCAGCATCTTTTTTGTTTGCACTCAAAGCCTCTCCATGGTGAACTATACTGTGTATGCCACTTCGCTTCTTAAACTTTTCAAACCAGCCTCGACTAGCCTTAAACCTATCAATCTCAAAACTTGAACCTGGGGTTTTCTTGAGCAAATCCTGGTACAAAAGCCTTGCTTTCTCACAAATGATGGCCTTCGAAAGACTGTTGCCGGCCAACTGCTTTTCATTGATCCAAATCAGAAGCAACTTTTCCACTTCTTCTAAGGTCTGTGATCTTTGCTTGGTGATTACAGTCACTCCTTTGGCAACATTAGCATCTTTTATTACTTCCTTGTTCTTGAGAATGGTAGAGATCGATGACTTTGCTAAGCCGAACTGCAAAGCCAGATCCGAGACGCGAACTCCACTTTCGTGCTTCCGTATGATTTCTTTCTTCATCTCTATTGTTGTTTTCACTTTTTTCCTTTTCACCTCCACACTTTCATTAGCTTTCTTAGGTTCCACAGTGACTTATGGAATTAAAAAAATAAAAGATATAATGCAAAATACAAAAAAATTTGTGGAATTTGTGGAAGAAATAAATTCCCATTGTTCACTTTTCCTGAAAAAAGTTAGTAGTAATATTTTTATATGTTAATTAAAGATTTTTTTTTTCTGACTTGCAGATACCAGATTTATCTACAAAACATTCATTAAAAGTTCTTGCATTTAATTAATACTTTTAAATATAATGACGAACACTAATTATATATTTAAAGAGAAATAATACATTTTTGTTATTTAATTTGACTTAAACACCTTTTAAATAAATTTCTTGGATGCCATTTACATTATGTGAATGTCAATTAATGTGGTTATTATTAATTAATTTGATTTAGATTCAACTGCAACATGTACCAAAACACAGTAACAGTATGTTTCCATTGAAATCTAATTTAAATAGCATCATCATCAATGATTCATGATGTGACGTTTAATGACACAAAATGATCTCAGCACCAACTTCTAAATCAATAATTCTGTCATTGATTGATTGAGCCATTGACTTTCTTTAACGTAGGAAGTACAGAGAGTTGACCATCTGTCTCTCTCTAATCTGTGGCCAGCTCTTCCCAAGTAGCTTGTTTGGCAACCAGAGCAATTATCAGTTCAAAATTCTGTTCAGAAAGTGAGCTGTTTGAAACCAGAGGTTTGACTGTATAAGAAATACAATGTGCACACATGCAAGCCTGCAGTGATCCAAAACTAGTTAACTGAAGCAAAAGCTTTTGCATGTTTGGACACCAACTCAATTTTATACCAGAGAACATGTAACTATATATTAGAATGCATCATTAGTAATAAGTTTTGTAAGCTTTGTTAGGAAGTAAACTGCATCTAAAATTACTTTTAAACAGTTAACTGACTTTTGGACAACCCTGTTTTCTAGCCAACGCAAAAGGTTCTGAATATATAAATTCAAATATACAATTTCTGAATGAAATAATTGATCGAAAGCAGTACATTCAAGAAGAGTGATTCTTATTAGCAATGTATAGTCTACGTACATCATATCTAAAATGGTACATACCTTTAACATCTTTGGTGCTTTCTTCGATATAAGCCGGTTTAGAGAAATTCGAGTAAGGAACAATCCCATGATTTTCCTAAGAACATAGATTATTGTTATTTAAAAAGTAGAAATTATTATTTATCTTATAAAAATAGTATGCATTCTCAGTTGAAGGAAAAACTTCTATACTGTCCTGAAATTATTTTAATATGATTAAAATTTTCTTAGGATTCCTATATAACTAAAATTATTATTATTAATATAATAAATTATGAATACAGTAGAGGGTCATTTATCCGAAAGCCGGTCAACTGAAACGTCAGTTAACCAAAAGCATTCCGGTCGGCAAATTTAAATTTCCGCTAATGCTGTGGCACTACAACCTTTGGCTATGTCTTGGGCTACTCCAATATTTTTTTTTGTTGGTGTGTATGTTTTAGCTGGCAGCACTGGCACTTTTGTGTGGTGTTTTTCTGAGGACTGTGTGTCGTGCTGAATCGAACATTTTTAATACTAGATTAATTTCTAAAGTATAATTTCTTTTGTTTTTATATTTTTCAATATATTTATTTTGTTTGTACAAAATAAATAAATACAGTTGACTCCCCCCTATAATGCAGTAGATACGTTCCACTTCATAAGAATTTCGCGTTGTATGAATCCTTAAATACATGAGCCAATCACAACCCGGCACATGTGCAGTTTACGGACTACAACTGTTTAAAAGGTTTTCTTCCATAAAATTAATCGATTCTAGACTAATTGGACTCAACATTTCCAAAACACATATAATTTTTTGGGAATAATCCGTATAAACTATGCTATGAACAAAAAATTGTAGAATTACTTACCGAGTGTGCACCATTCAACGATGCCATTGCTTAAGCTTGTTTTCATCACGGAGCAGTGCACCAAACGGCGGGCGCGTTNTTTTTAGTTAAAAAGAAGAATATATAAGGGAATACCAAATGCAGTTAGAGGTGAAGTTTGGTCAAGATTATTGGAAGTTACTGAAATTAGAGATAAACATAAAGATAAATATCAAGTGAATAGCTTATAATAATAACTTAAATAGTTTATAAACTATTAAATAAATATTGCATATTACTTTTTTAAATTAATTAGAATATGCGTGAGCATGCTCGAAAATGGTCTCCAGACGTCAGACAGATTGATCTTGATGTTAATAGAACTTATCGTAATCATATCATGTTTCGTGAAAGATATAATGTAAAGTAAGTTTATAATAAATAGACATCAGTTCTTTAATTATTAAAAAATAAATTAAATCAGAATACACTTTAAAAGCTTGTAATCATGCAGTTTAATTAATATTTAGTAACATGTTTTTGTTTTTTAGACAACAAGCTTTATTTCATGTTTTGGCAGCTTATTCTACCTATAACAGTGTAAGTAAAGTCATAATACAATGTTAATACTTTAAATCAAGAATTTTATATTTTGATGAGAGTGTTTATATATATATATATATACAAGAGTCACCCAGAAAGTAATACATGACTCACAAAACATTTGAATATCCAGTAAAATAATTTAATTGAAATAATAAACGTTTTAATAACTGAATATTAAAGTCAAAAACGTTTGTTATTTCAATTAAATAATTTTACTGGATATTCAAAGGTTTTGTGAGTCATTGATATATTCTTCTAGTATCCTTACAAGAAGGTATTTAATTTTTTTTCAAAGTAATACATGTTTGTCCATAATCACAAAACAAATCTACTTATTTTAATTCTTTATTTGCTATAATAATATTTATAGATTAAGTCATTTTTCAACATAACTGCTGCCATTTTTTAAGTAGTTCCCATATCTTGTGACCAGTTTTTGAATGCTGTCATTGTAGACTTTTGCCTCCAAGCCCTTTAATCACTCCATAATTTGATCTTTCAACTCAATGGTACTGGAAAAGCACTTTCCTTCCAGAAACTCCTTCAACTTATCAAACAGGTGATAGTCATTGGGAGTCAAGTTTAGACTGTAGGCAGGATGGTGCAGAACATCCCATTTGAGGTATTGAGGCAGGCATGTGATTTGCTGAGCTGTGTAAGGACATGCATTGCTGTGGAGGAACACAACAGCCTTCAACAACATTCCACACTGCTTGTTTTGAATGATCCTATGCAGCCTATTACATTGTCACTATACACTACCATAATGTGATAATGAATGTCCTCTGGATGAATATTTTTGGCATTCAGAAGCCAAGTAACAGCTCGCATTTTATATGTTGCAGGATTATTAATTTTTGCTGCTTTTTTTTATGATGCACAACAACTGTACAACAAATCCAATTGTCACATAAATTTCTTCTATGTTTGACTGAGACTATATAATTGACCTTGCTTACTTGACATCTGTTGCTCTGAATACCATCTATGAGCAAACAGATATTACTTTCTGGACAATCCTTATATATATATATATATACAAGATTTTTCATAAGTTGTGCCTTAGGAGATTATGTAGAGAGAAGCATCAAGTGATTGTAGTAAAGCATCAGTGGCAAGTGTATAATATATTGATTATACTACTGTGATCAAAAAGTATTGGGAATGGTTCATTTAAATTGCACACATACAAGAGGGCATTGACATTGTTTTTTTTTTTTTTGTTTTTTTATTGTTATAACTTTCATCTAAATCTAACAGTAATCTCTATGTCATCATCTGTTTTCATTTGCAAATAAATACTTGTTTTGTGTGTAAAGAAATTTTGCAGCAGCAATTTTTCAAAATGTTGAGTATAATTGAGCAAAGAATGTGCATTAAATTTTAAATGAATGAGCCCTTAATTAATTAAATTAAATGACGAGTTAGTCAGCTTGAATCTGAATGAGAACAGTGCAGAGATTATAACCAGAAGCATCTTGTACATAATTTGTTTGGTATTTTAGAATTAAAGTGACCATAATTGATTTAGAAGTTGGCATAATCTTTAATCAGTTGAAGACTTTTTGTTGTTTGATGTCTTATCTGAAGCTTTTTGCTTTGGTCAAGAGTGAAGTTAATGGATATACAATAGCAGCAAAACTTTCTATTAGTAATGTTAATACATGCATAGTTTCAGGAGACTTTTTATTTGTTGTAAGGTCATCAGCCTGGGATATTTTTAACAGGGTTAAAAAAAAATGCTGATACCAAGCTTGTTGCCAATCTGTATTGTACAGTACTTGTTCAATGTATTAAAATGGTTTTTAAGTACAGGTATACCTTGGTTAATGTTACCACTGGTAATGAAGCCTCTATATAACAAAGTCTGCAATTCAAGCCACCCTTTAACATAAAAATATTAACATTTTAAGGTCAGTGCCAATAAGTCATCTGATTGGCTAACTCTCCAATACTCCCAAGCTTTAGGTGTGTCTGTTTTAATAGTTTTGTGCATCATTAGCATAATTTAGTTGTAACTTACACTTAATAAGGTGTGTTTCAGTGTGCTGCACTGCTATAACTGAGGTATGAAGAAAAGAAGTTGTACTAGAAGAAGAAAATAACATTCAAAAGATTAGAAATTAAGTTGTTCAGATAGCTCAATTAACAGGTTTTGAAAATGTTGACAAAGAGGATGTAAGAAATTTATTAAATGCAAAAGATGATGATTTTTTAATGGAAGATTTAGAAAAATAACTTGTTAGCAGCAAAGTCAAAGAAAATGAAGATGAAATTAAAGAAGTTCCTGCCAAAAAAGTGTTATCAACCAAAGATTTTAAAAGATACTTGAATAACATTGAAAATGTTTTAAATTTTTTCAGTGAAAATGATCCTGATTTAGGAAGAACTGTTATTTTTAAGCAATTGATGCTAAATGCAATAAATTTGTATAGGCAATTGTTAAATGAAAGAGAAAAAAAACATAAACAATCAACTTTAGATTTCTATTTTAAAATTTTGTGATTTTATATATGTTTGAATGTGATATTGACTTTTTATTTAATAGAACTTTTCTTTTTTCAAAGAAAAAATTTTTCATTTTCTTTATGAACAAACATACTATTAAGGCCATCTCTGAGAATGAAATTTTGCTCAACAAAGTAATTTTGTGGAATGCATCCACTTCATTAATAAGATATGCCTGTATCTTAAAACTATTGAATTCTTATGTAACTGTAGCCAGAACATCATTGTATAAAGGGATAATTTATAATTTGTAAAATAAAAAGTAATTTAAATGCTACTTTTGGATTGGACAGTGGTCAAACATTATTTTCTCTATTTTTGTTTGAAGAGGACATATAAGTTAAACATGTAGTGAATTTTGAATAAATTGATCTGATGCTATTGTGAGTCTTTTGGCAAGATAAAAAATATAGAAAATCATTCATTTGGATACACTTCATAATCTGTGAACTATTATTAAGTACTTCATGCTATACTAATAGATATGAATACACTGTTTAATGTACATACTACATATATAATTCAAAAAAACATTTTTAGAAATTGAAAATGTTTTTATTTGCAATGTATGAAATATATTAATCATTACAGAATCATGAAAGTAGTACAGTTGAACCTGTTTATTTCAAAAACCTCTTTATCTCAAAATTTATTTTTTTCCCTGCATTTGCAGCATAAATTCAATATATTTTCCATGTTTATCTCAAATAATTTTCTCTCAAAACTTTTGTCTCAAATTATAGACTGAAGTGTCAATGACAAATTCAAAGCTCAGCGACTACATTTTGATAACAAAATTGTAGTTGAGAATCATCTCTCGCAGTACAGTACAAAGTTGAAATTAAACTGCTTTTTCTGATTTGTTATGAGTTTGACTTTTGCCCTTATTGTTTATTATTCCAGGTTATGTGTTACAACAGATTTTAACAAACTTTCATTGACCAATAGTTTTTTGACATCATTTAAGTTTGTGATTGTGACATTAAGAGCAGCAAATGGTTGGTGTGAAAAGAAAGTTGAATGTCTTTTCAATTGAAGAAAAATGAAAATCTTAAAATCTTCGGATGGAAATCCTCAGATGAGAAAGAATGAAGTTTCAACCAAGTTTAGTATTCCATCAAGTACTCTTTCAAAGATAATAAAAGTAGAGAGAAACTTCAAAAACAACAACAAGAAAGTGAAAAAAATCAAAAATGTTCTTTTCCAGAAATAGAGGAATGTGTAAAAAATGGTTATGCAATCAATGTTGCGATTGAGGAGTTCTTATGACATCATTCCTCTAAGAGGAACTGAACAAAATGATATCACAAAGGAAAGCTGAAGATTTTATCAAAAGACATGACCATAGCAAATGTAATGCCAGCAATGAGTGGCTCAACAGCTTTAAAGTAGACACAGCAGTGCGACATAAGTGCGTCTGTGCCTCAGTGTTTATGGATCAAGGATATGAGCCAGTGAATGTTTTCAATGCTGATAAAACAGGCATTTTCTTCCAATGTTTACCCAATAAAACCATTATATTCAAGAGACAAGAGTGCTAAGGTGGAAAACAGAGTAAAGTATGTGTGATTAGTATGTACTCTTAGCAGTTAATCAAACTGAAAGTGAAAACTTCCACTTCTGATGATTGGTCATTCTGCAAAGCCCAGATGTTTCTCAAAAATGAAATTGTTTCTTATAACATACAAAGCAAACCAGAAAGCATAGATGAGAAGTGAAATCATCAGTGACTGGTTGATTCCTTTCAACCAGACACTGTGGGTTTAAAAATCTAATTCGTCTTTTCATTGATAATTACAATGCTCATTCCAACCTCTCTACTCAAAAAAAAATCACTATAAGGTTTTTGCCTCCAAACACCACATCTAAGCTGCAACCTTCAATCAAGAGATCATTTGAAGTTTCAAAGTGGAATACAGAAGAGAACTGATTTGAAAACTTTTAGACATCATTGACGATGGTCCCTTTCCACTATCAATGTTTTTCATTTTATGAGGATGATAGACTATTCTTGGAGGAGTGTTACAGAAATGATGATCAAGAACAGTTTTCTAAAAGCAGGGTTTAAGCAAAGAAACAGCAAGGAAGAGGAACAACAAAACACCATTGGCACAGTGAAAGACATTGAAACTAATGAAGTAAATTTGGAAGATTGGATAATCGTCAAGAATAAATAATTTAGACATTTCATTTGAAGAGTTTTTGGATGTGGACAATTTCCTACAAGTTACCAACATGTGGAATGTTGACAGATATGGATATCATGGAAAATGTGAGAGGAATTTCTGACAACTATGATGAACTAGAGGATAAGATAGATTCACCTAAAGTTATTATCACAAAAGAAGGCGGTTGAAATGTTGAGAACTTTCCTTGAATGTCAGGAAGATATTAGTCAAGATTTGTGGCTATTTATTACCTTCAAAAAATTATCCAGTCAAAAAAAGTCAGGCATCAGGAATTATTGACAAACTATTTCTGCTAAC